GAAATAAGCAGCATCCGTTCTGAAAATAGCAATCGCACCCCAGTTTTCGAGCTCCACACTATAGCGCTGCAGCAGACATGTGCATTTGTAAGGTCTGTGGAAAGAAGGCAGATAAATCGGTTGTGGAAAACTGGGTGCAGTGTGATGAATGTGAACTTTGGTTTCACTTCGCATGCGCTGGTGTAGACGAAAGTGTGCAGCATCGTGATTGGAGTTGTGCTTCCTGTGTTAAGGAAACTAACATCACAGGACCAGGGCATACAAGCACAATGCAGCAGACAAATGCATCGGCTGATTCATCATCAGAAGGGACACAATCTGAACCAGTTGTACAGCAATGTGCGCTATCAATTGACATCGTCCTTCAAGACAACTTACTACAGGTGGGCGAACATCTCCCATCGCAAGGTCGATCGAGCGAGGGCAATCGTCAACATCAACTTATGATGGCTATGCTTGAAGAGAAACGGGCTGCAGAGGAGCGCTTCATAGAGCAAAAGTATCAGCTCCTTGCTCAAATGAACACTGCCGGCACATCCGTGCCAATTACCCAGTTTACAGCCAGCTCTGCACCTTCCCCTTCGCAAATAGCAGCCAGGCAAGCCATACCGAAAGAGTTGCCAATCTTTAGCGGCGACCCGGAAGAATGGCCGATGTTCATCAGTACGTTTGAGCACAGTACATCTATAGCAGGGTTTTCGAATGTGGAAAACATGTTGCGTTTACAGCGGTGTCTTAAAGGTAAGGCACGTGAATTGGTCAAGGACAAGTTGCTCCTTCCAACGATGGTTCCTGATGTTCTCAACACGCTTAAGATGTTTTTTGGCAGGCCTGAGCACATTCTGGAAAGAATGATTACGAAGGCGAGAAAGATACCTCCTCCGAAAGAAAGGCTTGAGTCGCTCATAGAATTCGCACTAGCTGTTCGTAACATCTGTGCAACGATGCAAACCTGTAAGCTCGAGCAACACTTGAACAACCCAATGCTGGTGAAAGAGCTGGTTGATAAGTTACCTAATCAGCACAAGCTCGCTTGGGCGATGTACCCACGCGATGGTTCACCATCTATCCAGCAATTCAGCGACTGGCTATATCGTATAGCCGAAGCAGCATCGACCGTAGTATCACCTGCTGTCATCTACAAAACAAGCTCCGTGAACACCCACAGCAGCAGCAATAGTGTACAGACAAGAAATGACATACGACGTGGCCAGAACTGCTCGCATGCAGAGAACCGCTCTCTGCTCCAGTCAAAGCAGTATACAGTGAAATGCGTCGCGTGTGGTACGACTGATCACTACGTCGCACTGTGTCCAACCTTCAGGGACTTGTCAGCAAACGAGAGGTGGCAGATGGTAAAAAAGGAGAAAGCTTGTTATCGTTGTCTGAAGTCTCACCGCAAGGGCTGTTTCTCTAAAAAGACTTGTGGCGTAAACGGCTGTTCAAAGAAGCATCACCCACTGCTGCATAGCGAGGGTAACGAAGGCACAAATAAGCTAGAGAACGATCAGGCCGTGGTAAGCACGCATCATGCTGATAACACCAGCAGTCAGTACTTTCGCATGATACCAGTGCAGCTTCATGCAGCAGGTAAGACAATTAACATTTTTGCGTTTTTGGACGAAGGGTCGTCTATGACACTCATTGATGGGTCAACATTCAAAAAACTTGGCATAAAGGGGGTACCGTCACCAATATGTCTACAATGGACGAGCGAAACTACTCGTAACGAGAGCACATCGGTGCGAGCGTCAGTCCAAATATCCGCACCAGACTCCAATAAACTGTTTTGGCTGAACAATGTGCATACCGTTCAGAATCTGGCTTTACCAAAACAGTCTATGAAAGCTAGCGAGTTACGAAGCAGCTATCCCTATTTAAGGGATATACCTTTGCCTTCGTATGATGACATCCAACCAACGTTGCTCATAGGAGCAGACAATTGGAAAATTGCAGTTCCACGCAGAATACGCGAAGGTAAGCGGCATGAGCCGATCGCTTCCAAGTGCTTGTTGGGATGGAGCATCCAAGGTACGTCGACTGCAGCAACCTACGTGACAATGCATCACTGCGAATGCACATGGCAAGAGTTACACGACATCGTTAAAGAGAGCTTCAGCTTGGAGTCAGTGAAACTACAAAACTTACAATCAAACGATGACAAGCGGGCTATTGAGATTCTCGATCGAACGTGCATTAAAGTAGACGGACGATTCGAAGTCGGACTGCTATGGCGCGACGAGGACTACAGTCTACCTGAAAGCTATAACAACGCGGTTAGTCGTCTCAACTGTTTAAAAAATAAGATTAAACGTGAACCCGAATTATACGACAAAATCGATAACCAAATCCGCAATTTAATACAAAAGAATTATGCAGTTGAACTCTTAAAGACCGATATGGCGATCAACAACAAGCATATCTGGTATCTACCGATCTTTATAGCAAAAAATCCCAACAAGCCGAACAAGGTAAGACTTGTGTGGGATGCGGCAGCGAAGTCTCACGGTACATCGTTAAACGATCATTTACTTACCGGACCCGACTTATTACAACCTCTCATCGAAATCCTACTGAGGTTCAGAGTTGGGGAACATCGCCGAGATGTTCCACAGAATCAACATTCGCAAAGAAGATATGCATGCGCAACGCTTCTTATGGTATGACCAAATCAGTGGGCAAACGAAGGCATATGTAATGTGTGCGATGACCTTCGGAATAAACTGCGGTCCATGTATTGCGCACTACGTCCGGAATAAAAATGTCGAACAAAAACGTCAGAAATATCCCAGTGCATATGAGGCCATTCAAAATGCGCACTATGTGGACGATTACATCGACAGCGCCGAAAACGAAGAAGCAGCATTCGCAGTAGCAGATGAAGTTCGAAGTGTTCATCGAGTCGGTGGATTTGAGATCCGAAATTGGGCATCGAATTCTCCCAATGTCCTCAGACAGCTATCAAATATTGACCCAGCAGTGCAAAGTCCCGTCCAGTTCTCAGAGACCGAAAAGGTGCTGGGTATGTATTGGGAGCCATATAATGACGTCTT